AGTGAAAAGGCTTTTATATTTGCCAAAAATAGAACTTTTTTATTTTAAAAACAAACAAGCAAGCCCTGTCCAGATTTAAAAAGTAACACAAAAGTAACCTAACCCATTACTTTCCATAAAAAGTAACTAAGTAACGTGATTAGTTACTTTTTTAATGGAGCAACGCAACATTGTAATGCATTACTTTTAAAAGTAACTTTCCCCAACACTGTTGGCAACACTGCCATCGATTCCGCCATGTTTCTCATTGACACGCCCCCAACTCGGAAACATCATAATAAACTCATTTACAGTTTTACACACATTTGCACGCTCAAGAGTGGATGTGGAGAGCGGCTTTCTGTGCTCATCAGCGGATCTTTATTCTCCAGTTTTTAGCATGAGTTTCAATGACGCCATGATGTTATTTTTACCCGATGAGCTCATGAACTCACTCTAACTTCACCAGCTTTAACTAGCCTAACTACCCATCCGCGCAACGCCACCGGGGTTTCTACGCAGCTGGTCATCTTTATCTGTGGATTTACTGTAAAATGAGACGGACTGAAACTTTCATGGTGAGTTTAAGGCATGTGTTAAATGAGAACTAGATCGCAGTGTGTGTGTGTGTGTGTGTGTGTGTGGAGACACGGTGTTGTTAGTTTCGTTTACTTAGTAAACTTGGTAAAAATGAGTTTAAAGTTCTGGAAAGTTCCGTTTTTGTTTCATATTTACTTTGCTGTCATTAAATACTATGACTGACATCTGTACAAACACACTCGTGTCCTGTTAAAATGTTCATATGTAACTTTACAGTAAAATAGTGTGGTGATACCATGATACTGAATGATTTCTGTACCATTTACACTGTACTTAAGAGAATACTATAGTGTTACCATTCTGTTCTCACTTAGATAACGTTACCGTAATATCGCTATCAGTCAAATGTGAGATAAATTAATAATCTGTATAAATCGGGTGTTATAGTTAACTAAAATTAAAAGCGTAAAAATATTTTTTTTGTTACTTTAAATAAAATAAATGTTAATTGAAGTAAAATAAAATATTAAAAAACTTAAACTTATTTTATTTCAACTAGTTGCCATGGCAACATTCCTCGTTTCCGTAAAATAACTGAAACACAAACTATATATATTTAAAAACAACAAAAATAAATAAAAATGACCGAAACGCACAACAAATTTACTAGAACTTAACATGAAATCAGAAAGTATAAAAATAAAATCGAAATACTAACATCTCAATGATACTAAAAATAACACTCAAAATAAACATGGTATTACAATCATATCTGTCTGGAAAACAAAACAAAACATGGTAATACGTGGTACTAAAAAAAAATGTTTTGTTAATTTTGTTGTTTTTTGTCGTTACATTGGTTAGAATATAAGAAAGAAATGGAGAATTTTTTTTTTTGAAAATAGATATTTAATTCATATTTTATTCTTTGTAGAGGACGCCAGGACTAAGTTATTAAAAAAAAATAAAAAATTAGGCATGAAAAGTCATGTATACGCAAAAACAAGTTTTTAGGTTTCAGGCTATTTTTAGCCAAACTTTGTGTAAAGATGATTCTCAACTATGTTATGAAAGATATAACAGAATGATTTGATATACTACTGTACTTTATGGAATATGTGCGTAAAATGTTCATAAATTGGTATTCGCATTCTATACAATATATCTATAGATTGCATCTAATTTGCATATTAATGTGATCTCATGAATGTGTTCATAATGAAAAAAGAAGTGTAATAACGGGAGCAATAACTTTTTCATAAGAATATCTGGAATATTGATCTATAATTTCTTCTTGTTCCCCAAAATGCCTGATTAACATGCCGTTTGTCCTGGTGTCCAGACACTTATGAAAATTATGCCCTTGAGACTCCATAACATTTGTCTAAAGATGTTTATTTACGACAAACAATTTGAAAATTAGCCAGATTTAAATGATGATTACAAAACCTTATCATATTTCCCTAAGAGTGCTCATTCTGTCAATATTAGCTATATTTAAAGACCAAGGAGAAAGTGTGTTTATGATCAAACCTCCAAACATCTGATATCTCTAAAAAGCCCTGAATGTGCTCTGTACATAATGTCCTCTACAGAGGACAGAAGTCTATGCCTGGGTCCCTTAAAGACAGCATTTCGGCTCTTCAGATGTTTGTTCACTACAAAACAAAAAGAGTACAAATAAAGCCAAAGATGGGTTAATCTGCCGATGAGGAACTCGAATCGAACTCGAATTTTTTTTTCTTCAAGACTGGTCATTTAGGTAGATTTGAATTAGAAAATTAAGGCTGATTATCACTTGGCTGGTCAAACTAGTAAAGGCTTGTGTATGCAACCGGCTACAACTATGATCTTTAGTTCCCTGTTGACAACAACAATCAATCTGATCAACGTGACTGATAATTAATTCATATTTATTGAAAACAGGGATTCCACAGGTCTTTAAAAAGTCTACGTTCACACTGCAGGCAAATGTGGCCCAAATCCGATTTTTTTTAGCTCACATGTGACACGGATCTGTTTTTCTCATGAGAGTGTGAACAGCACAAACCGCATGGAATCTGATCTTTTCAATTCTGATTTGTGCCACTGTATATGTGGTACTAAATCCGATACAGGTCCTGATGTTTCGCCATGCGACCGCAGTCTGAATTTTTACGTCACTCTAGATCAACACTCGTCACGATTCTGCGCTCATGGGAGTCGCTACAAAGATTTTACATACCCAAAGTTATCGAGACAGTTGCGAAAGGTAGTCCGTGGAAGTACAGTGACGTGTCAGAACTCACAAGTATTACAGTGACAACTCTATATACAAGCAAAACATGAGGACTCGTATCATAAAAGTTTCAAAACTCGCAAAGTCTTTATTTTTCATATTGCGTGCACATAATTTCGCTGGCTTCTGCAGCAGATCACACTATAAATAAATGCATAATCACTAACTTTATATCCTTCGTGTTTACTTCCGTAGGACAGCGCGCTGCGTAAGTGTTGCCAAGTCCACAGTTTCCCCGAAGAATTGGGCTACTTTTTCATTGTTGCCGTGGGTTGTTTTTCAACTCCGTGGGTTAAAACGACCACAATAACGCGATATATGACCCGACTGGGCTAGTTTCGGACTAGTTTTGAAAAATAATTGGGTGGAGTTTTTTTGTGAAAACCTGGCAACCCTGTTGGTATCGTTTTTTTTTGCGCATGCGTGTCAGTTCAGAACCATGATCTATTCACACTGGAAATCTGATATTGGCTACATTTAAAACAACAATGTGAACAGCTATACAAAAAAATCGGATCTGAGCACAAATCAGAATTGAGCACTAAGGCTCACAGTGTTTCGCAATCAG